GCTGCCGCCACCCGCCCTGCGTCCCCGTGTCCTCCATGTACCGCCCCCCGCCCTGCTGCGCCCCTCGGCCGCCGCCGCGGCCCCCGTCGCGGCCGCCCCGCGGCCCGCCCCAGCCCTCGCCCCAGGTCCTCCCTCCCCGCGCGCCCGCGCCCGCGCCCGCGGCGCCGCGGCCGCCGCTGGGCGCGTAGCTGCCCATGTCGCCGCTGCCGCCGCCGCCCCCCAGGGCGCCCCCAAAGTCCAGTGGGTCGTCGTTCCACATGTCATCGTCGTCAAAAGGGTCCTCCATCTCTGCATCAATGATACACAAGCACGCACCGGTTTCGGAACGAGCCAGGCGGCGGCGTGAGAAGGCCCGCGGCACCCGCGCCGCGGGCTGTTGCCAGGATGTCGACGGCACTCGGCCCCGTTGATGGCCATGGGCTCGCACGTGCGCCGCGCACGCGTCGTGCAGTCGTCATGCAACGTCATGCCAGCACCCTGTGAAGGCCCTAGCAGGGGGTTTGCCCCACGAAAATTGCAGGCGCTGCGCCATGCAGCGACCCACACAGGCGTGCACACGCACATGTGCACATGCACGCGAGCGTGCACGCACACACGCACGCACACACACACATACACACACTCACACTAGACACGCATGCCGGCGCTGCGCCACTCACCCAGGTCAAACATGTCGAAGTCGCGGTCAAACCCGCCGCCGCCGCCGCCGCGCCCGCGGCCGCCCCACCGCGAGCTGATGTAGCCGCCGACCTCGGGATCAAAGCCCTCCCCCAAGTCCCCGGCCTCCAGCCCCGCCAATACGTCAAAGTCCTCATCCTCCCCTGCCTCGCCGTCGTCGCCGCCGTCATCAAAAAAGCCCGGTGGAGGCGCCGGTCCCGGGGCCGGGCCGGCCGCCTCTGGGGCGTCGGCAGCACCGGCGCCGCGCGGCCCGAGGCTGGAGAGCAGCGACTTGGCGAAGGCCGACGCGGCCGGCGCGGGCGCGGGCTCGGCGTCCGGCGCGGGCTCGGGGGCCGCGGCGGCGGTCTTGCGGCCGCGGCGCTTGGGGGCACCAGGCGCTTGCGCGGGCGCCTCCTGCTCCGGCGCTGCGACGGTCGCGTCGGCGGCGGTGGCCTTGCGGCCGCGCCGCTTCGGGGTGGCGGGCGCGTCGGCGGCCTCCTGTGCCTGAGCGGCTGCCTCTCCGAGGTCGGTGGGCTCAGGGGCGCCCGCCGCCGCAGGCTTGCGCCCGCGGCGCTTGGGGGCCGCCGGCGCCTGCACTGCCGCTGCAGCTTCCTCCACCGCCGGCGCCTCGCCTGCTGCCAGCGCCTCCGGCGCCGGATCCGACGCAACCTCCGCCTCCGCGCCTGCAGTTGCTCCCCCATTTGCGCCCGCCTTGCGCCCGCGGCGCTTGGGCGCTGCGGGGGCCTCCGCTGCGGCATCCGGCGCCGCAAGGGGCTCGTCCGCCGCGGCGGGCGCTGCCGCCCCTGCCGCCACCGTGGCCTTGCGGCCGCGCCGCTTGGGCGCCGCCGGTGCCTCTGCCTGCTCCTGGGCTTCCCCGCCCGGCCCCTCCTGGGCGCCCGCATCCGCTGGCGCCGCCGCCTTGGACGCCGTCGCCTTGCGGCCCGCGCGCTTGGGGGCGGCGGAGGGCGCCTCGTGCTGCCGGGCCGCGGGGCTGGGAGGCGAGGCCGCCGCGGCAACTTCATCAGCGGGATCTAGAGGTTGCAGGGTCGACAGGGGCGGCGGGAAGGGATGCGGATGAGCATCCAATGGGGCCCGCCGGGGCCCGGCAGATGCAGCCTTGCGACAGCGAACGGCGGGCCGCGCGACGCATGGGCCAGGGGTCCACACAGCTGGGGTGCTGCGCTAGCGCCTGCGTTTGCTTGACGCACCCGCAATGGTGGTGACGGCCGCGATGGACTTGCGAGGGCGCCCGCGCCGCTTTGGGGCGGTGCCCGCCTCAGCATCGCCGTCGCTGGCCATGACACGCACGTACGGGGGACGCCGCAAGGGGAGGCCAGGCGGCAGCAGGCGCACGCATGGCGCTGTGCACAGGGGATTTGGGGGGGAGGGCAGCAGGGCGACAAGGCGGCAGGTCGCATGGGTAGGGCGGGGCGGCGACTGGGCATGGATGCGACTGGGCATGCACTGGCAGCAGCAGATGCAGCAGCAGCAGGGGAGCAATTGTATCGAGTGCGCCCCGGGCTGCCGTGAGGCTGGAAACGGCTCCCGTGGCACGAAGTTTCAGTCTCACCTGCTATGCCCCTCCGCCAGCCCAGCAGGCCGCTGCCCCCAATCGATCTCATGTCTGCTTCGCTAAGCTAGGGAGCTTCAGACGCAAAGCCCTGAAACAAGTGAGTGTAGTCCTGGTGGGACTCATGTGAAGCCTATGACCAGCATGCCGGCACATCTGATGGTCACAGGCCACCTGCTGCTGAGCAGCTTCTACAGGAAGACGAAGGCCCGCAGATCCGCTCAGCGTATGGGCATGGCTCGAGCATAACCGTGTCGATACGCACCTTTAGCTCTGCCCTGCCCTGTAACGGCACGCACATCATGTGTGTGCAAGGTCTGAGAGGGCACCCAGAGCCACCACCACCAGAGTCGCTTTCACGCAACAAGCCCTGGCGGCCAAAACCTGCGGCTGTGAGCATTGCTATGGCAGCTCTTCCCTTCAATTATACCATTTTACACAGAGTAGAGCGGCGGCGGCGGCGCGCTCGCGTGGTGCCGCCAGATGCATGTGATGCCGCGTGAAAGGCCTGCAGTACACCACCTCAGCACGCCGGATGCCATGTGTGCGAGCGCTCGCGACGCGTCACAAGTTTTGAAGACTTTATAAACTAATGGCAGCGGGCGCCAATAGCAGCGGACACGCTCAGCCGGATCTAGGGGCCCAATCAAATCGGCAGCCGTGCATGAAGCGGGTGATGGGGCTGTGGCCGTGGCCGGTTGGCACGTGACTGGCGGCGGCCGGCAGCCGCGCAGGTGCCAACCGCTGGTACTGCGCCGCCGCGTGTGACGTGAGTTGGTTGCATGCGGGCCAATTTCGCGGCCGTAAATGCAACTTTCTAGCCACAAGATTCGGCAATGCTGGGGGCCCCTTCTAGGCAGGCGCCCCAGCAAACAGCTTCGGTTGCGTGTTCTAAAACCTGTTTCCACAGGGCTGCCTCACAGCGCCGCCAGCAGCAGCGCCGCGCCCGTAGCAGCCGCCACAGCTGCGCCCGCCGCGCGCCTGCCGCCAGCGCCACCCGTTGCGGCCGCCGCCTGCCGCTGCTGCTGTGGAGGCACGCCGCCGCCAGCGCCCGCGGCGCCGAGGCCGCCCGCGCTGCCACCCGCAGCGCCCAAGCCG